CCCAGTGTCCAGGTGCCTGCACTGTCTTATAGAAGTGGACACCGGGAACCCATATAACTGTATGAACCCACGTGACGTTAAAAAGGGCGCAGGGCCACCGTGAAACCCATCGGGACGTGCCAGCTGGCCCGCGTCCCAGCCCGGCCCGCGCCCTCCGGGGGTGCTGGCCGGCAGCCACGTCTCCGGCAGTCACTTCCGAGGGCCGGGCCGTCCCACGGAGTGTTGGCTCCTGTCTCTGCAGGCTCGATGCCCGGGGAGAGGGGACGCGGCTGAGGGGCCGGCAGGGCCAGGAGCGACACGTCCTCAGCTCGGGAGCCTTGGGGACGAGGACGGCCGCGCGGCCCCCGGCCTCTCTCGTCCAGGGTCGAGCGCCCACGCGGCGTTTCCCCACGGGCCCGCTGGCCCCGGTCAGGCCTCCTCCGCTCACCTCTGGGGTCCCAGGCGCTGCTCCTGCCCAGCAGCCGCCAGGGACGAGCTCCACCCAAGTCTCCTCACAACTTGTCCCCGCGGGACCCGTGGGTGGTCTGGTTCCAGGACACCCCAGCTCAGGTGGGAGACCGTGGCTGGACCGGGCCAGCTGGCATGTCCCGCCGCCGGCCTCCGTCCTGGGCCCTGGGCACCCCTGGTCGCCCAGGGCGGCGTCCGGCGCCGTGCAGCGGCCTGGCCTCCAGGAGGGGGCGAGGCCTGCAGTGGGCGGTTTCAGGGAGCAGCTGCGCCTTGGGGGCTTCCCTGGGCCCCCAACAGTCTTCTTGGCAACATGCGCCCTCCTGTCTGGGCCTCGCTGCAGCTGCCAGCGCCCCCGCCCGGCACCCCCGTCCCCAGCCAGGCCCCAGCCCCTGGACTTGAGTGTGAATGAAGTGTGAACCTAAAAATAAGAAGCCAAAGTCAGGGGCAACGAGTGTTTATTTCAGATCAAAAAGAATAGCCATTCTAGCCCTGGCTGGTGGCAGCCTGCAAACCAAAGGGCCGCCGGTCCCGTCCCCAACCAGGGCACGTGCCTGGGTTGCGGGCCAGGTCCCTTGCAGGGGGCGCACGAGAGGCAACAGTCAACGTTTCTTTCCCTCACCTTCTCCCTCCCTTTTTCTTTCTAAAAATACATCCTCCCCAGGTGGGGGAGCCAGGTACAAACAGGGCAGTGGGCAGAGAAATGGCCTCGTGGTAAATTAAACACAGATGGCCTGCATAAAATAATATCCACCATACCCACATGCCACCCACAATTCCTCACAGGGGTTCGAAGCGGGGGTCAGACTGAGAATGTTCTAAAGTCCTCGTGTGCGTCAGGGCGGGAACGAGGACGTGGACCAACGTCCACCTGGGAGCTACGCAGGTGAGAAAGGTGGGAAAATTCCAAACGAGGGCTGGGGAAACGACGAGAAAACCACCAGAAAGCCCCCGACAGCCTAGATAACCACCTAAGAGCTGGGGAGGAGGGAAAGCCCATCAAGAAAACGGGGGCGGTGGGGGGGGGGGCCGGAGCTGTGCAGCGCCATCATCTCCTTCACGGCGGAGAACCAAACGCGACCCAGGGGCGGAGGCTGACGAGCCACCGTGTCCGGGAGGGGCTCAGGCAGGGGCACGGGGCGGGCCGTGGGGCGCGAGGCCCCCGTCCCTACAGACACGACTGTTAGGACGGGGGAGCCCTCTGCGCCCGCGTCCCGGCCTGGGCCCCGGGCGGCCTCAAGGCTCCGGGTTTGTGTGCTGCCTGCCTGCGCCCACGTGCAGGCTCCGGCGCGGCGAGCCCGCCCTGGGCTGGACCAGGTCAGTGGGCCGCTCTCCGAAGGGCTGGGTCAGCTGGTCCAGCACGTGCTGGGGTCCCGGCCCCCCGCCACGGGAGTCTCTGCTGAGAGCCTCCAGTGTCTGGGTGCCCCCCGGGGCCCTGGCTGGGCAGAGCGGGGGGCTCCGGACCCCAGCCCGGACGGCGCTCGCCACGGTGCCTCCCGCCCCTTGTGCCCCGCTTTCTGAAGGAGACCGCGCCAGCTCCTGACAGCGAGCTGAGGGTGGGCCGAGAGCCCGCTCACACCGGAGACCGCTGGTCAGGCACCTGGGCGGAGGGTTTAGCCTGCATTTCCTCCCACTTAAAACAAGAGGCTCCGCCCCTCGCCCTGGGCCGGGGCCTCCAGCTGGCCGTCTGGCCAGGTCCAGGGCGGACATCAGCTCCGGCTGGTTTCCCAGGCCAGGTCCTTGCGTTTTATCTCGGGCACAGGCCCCCAGCCCTGTGGGTCCCTGTCCCCTGCCCTCAAGACCGGTTCCCCCAGGGCCGGGAAGGTTTTGCGGGTCTACCACGTGTGTCTCCTGGGCTTGGGGATGTCAACAAGGAGGCTCCACGGGGGTCCGCCCTTGGCAGGACGCGGAGTTCTTCAGCCCACACACCCTGGTCTGGCTGACCCCCAGCGGCTGCAGAGAGTGTGGGCCAGACAGGGGAGGGGATGGTGGCCGCCCCGGGGTGGCGGGCGCTGAGAAACAGGCTTCAGTAAACAGCTGAGGAAAGAGACCCCCGCCGCAGCCACCCACACACGCACACACGCAGGCGCGGGCCTGCCAGCCCCCAGCCTGGCGCTCCGCCGCCCTCCCAGCTCTGCCCTGGGCCAGGTGGCTTCCATTTCCCGGCTCCGCTTCTCTGAAGTGCCGCTCAGGGGGCGGGGGGCTGGGGGGGAGGCGGCGGGCCGCGGGGGCGGGGGTGGGGGGCTGTTGAGAGAAAGCGCGGCAGTGACATTCGAGCCAAGCTTGGCGAGTGCCTGAGCACAAGAGCTCCCACGGGGACTCCGCAGCTGCCGAACATTGTAATGGGACAAGGGCCCACGGTGGGCCAGGGCCCCCCTGCCCTCACTCAGGGCGTCCCCGCGCGGGGGCGGCGAGGGGAGGTCGGCTTGCGCCCGGGGCCCGGGGCCAGGCGGGGCGTCTGACAGCCCCGTGCCCCCGCACCAATTACCAGCATTTAGTCACAATTTCCTGTCGCGCTTCCTCTCCGCAGCAGAAGAAAGAACAGCCGGGAGGCGCAGCGGCCGCTGTGCTCGCTCCCGGGCGGGCGCAGGACGGCAGGGCAGGCCCGGGTGGGGGTGCTGACCCCGCAGAGGGGGGCGCGCTCACGGTCAAAGAGACGGAGCTTTGGCACAACCACCCCGCAGAACGAGAGGAAGCCCCGCTTTGCCCACCGGCGTCGGCTGCCAGACCCCGGCCCCACCGCGCTCGGCACTGGGTGCAGCGTGTCAGCTGCGGCTGTCAACGAGTCACACCGAAGCGCGGGGGCTGGAAGTGACGCCAAGGCAGCCGGCCTGTTCCCGTGTGTCCGGGACAGAGGAGGGACCCCCGGCCGGTGGTTCCGGCACAGGGTCTCCTGTGACGGCGGGAAGGAGTCAGCAGGCTGGGGGGCCCGGTGGCACCCACGTTCGCCCCGGCCCCCGCCCTCCCGGCTGCTTGCGCCTTTTCGTGTGACTTGTGTCCCAAGAGCCGGCGTCTGGGGTGAGCAGGCAGCAGCGTGGCGTTTCGTGCCCAAGCCTTGGAAGTCACATAGGAACCAAGTCTGCCCCGGGTCCAGGACAAGGCGCACCCACCCCCTGGCGCTTGGGAGGGCGGCCAAGGACCTGGGGCCATGCTTTGAGGTCCCTCTCTCCACCCCCAGCTCGGCGGGCCCCCCGCCGGCCCGAGAGCTGCTCCCCGAGCCCCTGTGCTCCGTGCTGAGCGGGGACGCCCCGCTTTCTCAGCTGACCCCTCTGTGCCGTCTGCCCCGCCCCCAGGTCGCAACAGACCCGCCTCGCGGCTCTGTCTGAGTGGAGCCCAGGGCCCGTCCGAGGTTCCAGCTGCCGAAACCAACGTCCCGTCCCGCGGCCTCCACGGCCAGTCAGGACGAGGCTGACACTTGCGCCGCCCACCTCAGGACCCACAGCCCCCCGACCCTGCACCCAGCTGCCCCCGAGTCGCACAGAGGGCGACTGCTTCTCTGTTGCCCTCTCCATTGCCAAAGAGACCGGCATCGGCCCTTCCTGAGTCCAGCGGAGCCGGGTTACCATGGCAATGCCCATTATCCCCGATTAACAGGAAATGAATCAGGAGCTAAAAATAGGCTCCAGAATGGATGGATGGACAGACGGATGGACGGACGGATGGACGGATGGATGGTGGACCTGGATTCAGAGAGAGCACAGTTCGTTTCTCCCAGAGAAGATCCTTCGGGGGGACCCCGGTTGGATGCCTGCCCTCACAGGGCTGGGAAGCCCCGGCGGGTGGAGCCCCCTCACGGGCAGAACGCGGAACCTGCAGTGCGTAGTAGGTCCTCACCAGGCCAAGCACGGGCTGAGGCCGCAGGAGGCCCTGCCCGGCAGCCCCCCTCCGCCCGAGCCTGGCGAGCTCCCTCGGAAGCTAGGCAGCCGTGCGCCCCCAGCGCCCCCGGGGGGCCAGGCCCCCAAGCGCCCTCGCATTCCTGGGAGGCCCCTCGTTCCGTCCAAGAGGGACCCAGCGAGCCTGGGGTCCTTGTGCCGGGGGAGCTGGAAGGGGCAGGTTCCCCCGCCCGGCCCTCCCGTGCTGGGGCTTCCCACGATGCGGGGGTGGGGCGGCAGGGAGGGGCAGTCAAGGCACAAACCGCTGCCAGGAAGAGAAGACGCTTTATTGTGCCTGAGCCCCAGCCGCAGACGCCGCAGCGAGGGTGCTGGGGCGGGGCCCCGAGCAGGGGCACAGGCAGGGGACGGGAGCAATCTGACCGTGGGGACAGGGCGGCCGGGGGCCTGGTTTTCCCCGTGAGGGGACGCCGCCTGCGGGCCCCTCCCCGTGGGGATCAGGTGCAACGCGGAACCCGCCCCCCACAACCCCTTGCCGGCCCCCACATCCTCAGCTCCTGCTTCTGGGTTTCCCGGGGCCTGGATTCGTTCACCCTGTAGCCTTGGGGGCCCCGGGGATGAGGGGTGGGCTTGGGATGGGGGTCAGAGGCCCCTGGTCAGGGGACTTAAGGGGCCCAAGGGTGCTGGAGGCAGGAGGCGCCCCGGCCGCCCCGTGCCCCGGGGCACTCAGGGCGCAGGGCCTGGCCCGCCGTCCGGGGCGGGGGCGCCGAGGCCGCGAGGCGGCAGCCCCCTGTGGCTGTGATACTCCACCACCTGCCGGGGCACCTCCGCCAGCACACGCTTGGCCAGTGCCGCCGGGGACGCCTGCAGAGCGGGACGGCTGCTCACCTGGGGCCACCCCCTGCTCCACCCGACGGGGTCACCCCCCCGCCTCGCCCTCGGGAGCCCCCGTCAGCGGGTGCCGACTTGGCTCGGGGGGCCCCAGTGTGGAGCATATGAACCCTAAAACATGAGACTGGGACCCTGGCTGCCCCCCGGCAGCTGACATGCGAGGGGCTGTGGAGGGGCTCTGGGCACTGCCCCGGGGGGTGCTCACGGGACCGCACCCGGGTCCCAAGGCTCCATCCCGCCAGGCACAGGGAAGCCGTGGGCCGGGCCCGAAGGGGCAGCCTCCGCACAGCCGGGCACAGCCGGGCCCTGCCCGCGCCCCCCGCGGAGACACAGGCTCGTCCGCGGGCCACGGTTTGCCTTGTGTGGGCGTGTGACATGCTCTTCGGCACAAAGAGGTTTGGAAGCGACCGAGGAAGCCGCCCGGGTCCCCGGGGCCTGGGCAGCACTGGCCACAGCGGGGCCTTGCCATTTTTTACAACAGAAAGATTTTAGGTGACGGAAGGTGGCTCAGAACCTGCTCCCGGCAGCAGGGGCGGGGGCGGGGCAGTGTGGGCCCCGTGTCTCCCGTGCGCTGCCAGAGGGGGACCTGCCGCCGCCCGGACAGGGCCCCCTGGCCGGGCCCTGGGCACTCACGTCCTTGAGCTCCCGGAAAGGCACGAACCGGACGATGTCCCGGAGCGCGGGCTCCCCCTGCGGGGAGCGCGGGACGCCGGCGTCCGCATCCAGGACCTGCATGTCCGTGAAGTCGGCGTTGCCCACGCCCACAATGACGACGGACACGGGCAGGCGGGAGGCGCGCACGATGGCCTCCCGCGTGTCCGCCATGTCAGTCACCACGCCGTCCGTCAGGATCAGCAGGATGAAGTATTGCTGGGGACACAGGGCGGGAGGGGTGGCCCGTGGCAGCCCTGCAGGGCGCTGCTTCCCGCCCCTCCTGCCAGCACCCGGGTCCGCCCCCCAGCGTCTCCCCGGTGACCTGGGGGTGGCCGCAGACGCCCATGGTCCCCAGGCTTCTCCGGAGCGAGCCTGAGCTGTGCCCACACTGCCTCCTGCCGGCCCCAGGTGTGCTGGGGGGGCCCCTTGCAGGTGGGGGCTGAGGCCAGAGAGGAGGGGTCTGCGGCCCCAGGTGGGGAGGGAGGGGCTCCCCACAGCCCGGAGAGACCCTGAGACGTCCAGGACGGACTCTGCAGAGGGACAGTCCAGGGACGGCCGGTGGGCGGGGACACGGGACGGGGAGTGAGTTCTGCTTTGAAAAGCAGAACTGTCGCAGAGCGAGCGGGGCGGGGTGTCAAGGGGTGAGCGGCCAGCTCTCCGGCGGTCCGGGCGGAGGACCACGGTTGCACACACGTGTGGGCACAGGGAGGCGGGGCCCGCGCCGGGAGCCCGCGATCGCTCTGTCTCACGAAAGGCGTGCGGGTCTTGCCACTCCCCCATAAAATGTGATGTTTTGGGTTTTCTTTTCAAAATAAAAAGCTGAACAAAAGCCGCAGCCCAGCTGTGCACAGCAGCACCAAGAGGTCTGCGGCATGCGAGGGACGATGAGGCCGCCGTGCCCCGTGGCACGGTCACGTCTGTGCACAGCAAACGTGTGCGCGTCCAGTCGCGGCTGGCGCCCAGCACAGCCACCCAGACGCGGGCGGCCGCCCAGGGCCGGTCGGGAGACCCGCGGCCCCTCCTTCCTGCCTCGGGGCCTTTGCACGCGGCCCCCGCCTCACACTCGCGGGCCCCCGTCCCCCCACGGCACCCACACCTTCTCGTGCGCCCCGCCCCCACCGTGCTGCCGCCGCCGCCGCAGGCACCTACAGAGGCCTCGCCGGTGCGCTCCTCGGCCGCCGCCCAGCCGGCCACCTTGGAGATGACGGGCGCCACGTTGGTGGGGCCGTAGAGCTGGAGCCTGGGCAGGCAGCGCTGGTAGGCCTCCACCAGGCCCTGGATGCCTGCGGGGGGGCGGGGGGCGGCCGGCAGTGAGCCGGCCGGGGCCGCGGCCGCCCCTCCCCAGGCCCTCGGGCTCCTACCTTCACACTGGTTGTCCTCGGGGTTGAAGTTGATGGCAAAGTCATGGGACACCTGAGGAGACGCGAAGGGGGCTGCCCGCCGGCTCCCGGCCCGGCCCCTGTGCAGGCCGGGGGCGCCTGGGGCCACCGCGCGGGAGGAGCCTCCGTGGGAGGGGTCACCAGGGCAGACGGCAGGCAGGCCGCCGCGCGGGGGCATCGCTCCAGCCCCGGGGCAGGGGGCCTGGGGTCTGGGTTGCCCGGCTGATGCCCCCGCCCCCTGCGGTGGTGTTTGGCCTAAGCCAGTAGGACTGTTATTTGTAACGGGAAGTTTCCAGACTAACGTCCCCCTGCTCCTTGCCTCCAGAGGTCACAGGTCAGCCCCTCTGGCAGGGAGGCCAAGCTCCCCGGGGCCCACAGGTCGCATGGCCGTGGTGGAGGTGCGGCTTCTGCCGGGAGGGGCGTGGAGGGAGAGGCAAGGCCCCCAGGCCGTCCTACCTCAAAGTTGGGCGGGATCCGGGCTCCGAACCCCAAAGCCGAGAACCTCTTGTCGCTGGAAGAGAGGCAGCCGGTCACACGGCGCCCCTGGCTCCGGGGCGGGCGTGCGCTGGGGTGTGGGCGATTTGGGCGACGTCCACAGAGCCCGGGGCCACCCCTCTGCAACCCAGCCGGACCCTGTGCCACCGGGGAGCCAGGGCGGGTGCAGCGAAGAGCCCGATGCAGGCGGGGGGGGGGGCGGGGGGGGGCACTGAGCAGCTCCGAGGCCACGCCTCCCGCCTCTGCTCCGCCTGCCCACCCGCTGGGGGCAGCCCCACCCCGCGAAGGCCGGCTTCCGCCCCCTGCCCCTCGGCCCACCCGCCCCCAGGCCGCGGCTCGCCCCTCAGTGCCTCAGTTTACTGCTCTGTAAAGGGGGACCTCCCCCAGGGTTTGGGTGAAGGGCAAACGGTGCCCTGAGTTGAAGGCCAGCCCCACGTGGACACACAGACTCGGACGCTGCCCCCCCGGGAGATGCCCGCAGCCGCGGGCCAGCCACGCAGGGGCGCCTGGGCTGCAGCGTGGAGCCAGCCCACCCGGCCGCGGACCCGGTGCTCCTGGCCTTGGGCAGCGCCTCTGGGTCATGGCCCAGGCCCCCGCAGGCCCCGGGGTCGGGGGACGTGGGGGCGCACCTGTCGTAGTCCTGGCAGACCTCACCCACGGCCACCAGAGCCTGCAGGTACTCGTTGGGCTGGAAGGGGTGGATGTAGTGCAGGGAGCAGCTGTTCTGGGGGTCGCCGTTGGAGGCCGTGAAGTCGATGGCCACCTGCAGAGGCCCCGCGATGATTGGCAGGCCCTCGCCGCCTGGCCTGGGGGGTCCCTGCGCCCCCCACGGGGCAGGGGCAGGGAACCGCGGCCCCTCAGCAAGGGGGCATCTCAGCGCAGCTCCCGGGGCCTTGCGAGGAACCCCGTGGGGACACCCGTCGGTGCCTCCTGCACCCAGGGCCGCTCGGCTGGACCCCAGGGCGGGACAGTGGGAAGGGGGGGCCGGGGCTGGGCACACCTCAGTTGCCACCGTCCCCGCCGCCCGTCCCAAGGACCAGCCTTGCACCCGCTCGGCCGCACCCTTGGGTGAGCCTGGGCCCTTCAGCAATGCAGCAGGAATGGAGAGTGAGCAGGAGGGGACAGGAGGGACCCCGGGCTCTCTGTCCCGCTGTCCCAGGGCCTCGGGTTCCGGCTGGGCCGCCAGCCAGCACTGTCCCTCCTGTGGCCCCGGGAATCCGTGCTCCCTCCATCTGTCCACACGCCTTCTCTCCGTTACTGTGTTTCTGTGGAGGGTGAGTGCGGGCCACGTCCCTCCTGCGGGTGCCGGGCTCCGCTGCGCAGTACGAGGACCCCCGGGAGATGGCACAGGAAGAGCGCAGCGCGGAGAGAGGGCCCTCCGGGCCTGGCAGGGGTCCCCGCGGGCCCCCGTGTCTTCCCACCTCCGTCCTGCCTGTGGAACCAACTCTGAGCCGCGTGGGGGGGGGGGCGAGGGGGAGAGGCCCTGGGGACCCGCCAGCTACAGGAGGCCCCGCGTACTCACCGTGAAGTGGATCTGGCAGCCGCCCATGATGTAGTCCAGGAAGGAGTAGCGCCTGGAGGGCTGCCGGGCGTGGGTCAGTGGGGCCCGCCCCACCCCGCGCCCACCCCAGGAGACCGGGGCCCGGGCGGGCGGGGGCGCCCCCCTCGCAGGCCCCAGGCTGCCCGCTTGCCCGGCACCGCGTCTTCTGTCCCCCTCCAGTTATTGGGGACGCCCAGCATTGGGGACAAGGCCCCGAGGGTCCCTCTGACGTTGGGGGACCACGGGGGCGGGGTCACCTCTGGCCGTGGGGGCGGGGCGGGGCTGCGGCTGGGGCTGTGCTCACCCTCAGCTCGGCCAGGATGACCAGCCCGGAGTTCTTGTAGTGCCGCTTCCTCCGCTGGTACTTGGCGTTCACGCATTCCCACTGGGCCTGGGGGCAGGGACCGGCAGAGGCCCCGCGGGGTCCGGGAGGCCTGAGTGAGCCGGGAGCCAGCATCGCGTCTCTCGCCTGTCGTGGCTGCTGTCCCCAGCGGCCCCTCGAAGCGGGGCCAGGGCGCGGGGTGCAGAGCCTCAGCGACCAGGAGGGGCCGGCTCACCTGGCCCTCCCGGAAGGCTCTCTGCATCTCCGCAAAGGTGGTGGTGAATTCTCCGATGAAGTCGTGCCTCCCGCGGGAGTCGTGGTCCCAAACCAGGCCCTGTGGAGCCAGGCCCCTCAGCCGCCGCCCCGGGCCTGGCTCTGGCCCTGCCCCTGGCCCTGCCCCTGCCCCTGCCCCTGCCCCTGCCCGCGCCGGCCCGGCGCCCTCGCCTTGAGAGGCCGCGTCTCATCGCCGCCGCACAGGGAGCTCAGCGACACCGTGAAGGGCTCCCACTCAGGGCTCAGGTTGTCCTTCACCACCTGCGGGCGGCAGGCAGTGGCCTCAGGCCTGGAGCTGGGTCTCGGCGGGGAAACACCTTGTCCGTAAATAGACTCGTTTCTAAAAACTGACACCACTGTATCTAAACAGGAAGTGCTCCCAGATCCTGCGCCGCAGGCGCGTCACCTGCAGGCCCTGCCGGGGGACAAGCGCTGACCTTGACCGGCCTCGCTCCACGCCTGCCCGCGGCTCCCTGTTCACAGGGGTGGGGGCAGCGTGTGTGACACCCGATGGGCCCGGGGTCCCCGGGGCGGGGACAGGGCGAGGGCGGGGCTGGCGGGCGCTCACCTCCGTCCTGTGCACCAGCTGCCTGCTCTGATCGCCGTCGACCCGGAACAGCTCCAGGAAGGGGTCCGACTTGCTGAAGACGTCCTGCGGGCGCAGCCGGCTGTGCGGGCGGCCCAGGCCCAGCCCGGTCGGCCGCTTCCTGCTGCCTTTCATCCCCAGGGCCTCTGTCTGCTCACCCGTCCAGCGAGGCCACAGCCCTTCCTGAGAGCAGCCCCTGGGGCCACTGGCGGCCCCTCGGCCGCGCCCCCCACCCTGCTCCGTGCACCGTGGGCCCCACGCGCCCCAGGCCTGCTCACCAGGCTCGGCACCGCAGCTGGGTGGGCCGGCGCGGCCCCCACACTCACCTTGTCGTCCAGCTTCTGGGCCCGGAAGGAGAGCTCCACGTACCCGCTGTTGGCGGAGATGTCCTCGGCTGTGACCTGGGCAGGGCGAGGCCCCAGGTCGGGCTCGGCAGGCGGGCCCCCCACCCGCCCCGCCCCAGGGCAGCCCACAGAGGCTGGAGGGTGGCGCCTGGACCCCGGGACCTCCCTCGTCAGCACGGGGGTTGGGTGCAGGTCTGAAGGGAACTCACCGTGATGGTGGACTTGCCCGCCTTCCTGCCAGACCTCAGCAGCAGTGCGCGGGTCACCTTCTTCTGGGCCACGATCTGGGGGCCGGGGCGGTCGGCGGGTGTCAGCTCCTGCCCCTGGGGGCCCTGTCTCCCTGGCTCCTCAGCCGGTGGCCTAGCGCCTCCAAACCTGCGACACAGGCCCTGTGCCCTTGGGGCCTGGCCGTCAGCAGCCCCCTGCCCCCACCCCCGAGACACCTGGCCGCCTGGCTCCTGTCCCTCCTGCTCTGCCTGACACTCTCCCTTCATCGCCACACAGGCTCCCACCCCCCGTGTCAGGGGGGAAACTGAGGCTCAGAGAGGGGGGTGGGAGAGGCCACCCAGGGCCGCATGTGGGTGAGCACCGGCCCGCGCCAGGCGCCCACAGGCCAGGCCCCAAGGGCGGCCCCTGGCCAGTGGGGGGTGCAGACGGCAGGCGCCGGACCGGCCGCAGCCCAGCGCTCCACCCTCCTGCCCCAGGGGCACCCAGCTGCCCCACGTGGGGTCTCGTCCCTCTGCCTGTCTCCCCCCTGTCAGGCTCTGAGCCCTGAACGGGGCCGGGGCGGTGACACGGGACACCGTCCGCACCCAGAGGGCTGTGCTCTGGTGGCTGGGGGTCCTCCTGTGATAAATGGCAGCCGCCCCCCCGGCTGCGGAGGGGCTGGTGACTTCCTCCCTGGGGGCTCGCAGCGTCCTCAGCTGTCGCCACGGTGACAGCGGCACCGACAGGCCTCAGCGCTCACCTGCCCCCCATCCCCCCGGCTTCCGTCTCGGGGGAGCTGGGTGAGCACGGCCAAGCGAGCTGGGTCCAGACGGGGCACGGGGGGGGGGGGCCGCCCCCATCAGGGCCGCCTGGCCCGCAGCCCCGAGCGCTCGGGAACAGTCTGTGCAGGAGAGGAAGCAGGCCCGGGGGGGACGCTCTCCGCGTGCGCCCCCCGGCTCTCCCATCTGCGGGCTCCCTTCTGGGCTCCCTTATCAGGAAGAACGGGCATCTGGTCCGATACCAGTTAGTGGCCAACGCGCGTCCTGCGCGCAGCTCCGTGAGACTCAGGCGGCTGTTGTTCCCCAGGCGGGGAGGCTGCTCGGGCAGAGGTTGGGGCTCAAGGGCACGGCACTGGGATTTGAAACGTGTCCCCTCCCTGCCCCCCACCATTGGCCATGGGCTGCGGGGCCCCTGACCACCTCGCAGGCCCGGAGGCCGCAGAGCAGGAGGTTCTCGGGGCACATGTTTGCTGTCTAAAGGTTACACGGACATCCACATGTGTGTGTCCATGGAGCAGCACCCACACATATGTGCCCACGTGCGCACACACTTCTATACCCATGTTTGCACACATGAGCTCACATGTGTCTGTATGTGTGCCTGTGCATCCACGTGCGCATGTGTGTACACACATTTCTGTGCACACGTGTGAGCACATGTGTCCCTGTGCATGTGTGTGCATGCATGTGTGTCTGTGTGTGCATTGCCCTCTTGCGCCCACGCCAGCACCCGGGGCACCAGGGGCCCTGCTGCTCGCTCTCGGGCTGTGTCCTCCCGTCTCCCCCGGCTCCTCCGTGGGCTGGGCGGCAGCAGAGCGCGCCCACGGCCGGCGCTGGCCCAGGCAGTGAGGGGGCGAGTCCGACAGACGTCGCATCGTGCGAACGACACCGAGCACAGACAAGAACATCCCGTGTGAGCCACGGCCACGAGGTCCTGGGACAGGCTGCAGCCGGCGGGCGCGGCCGGCCGTGAGAACAGCCTGGCTGATCTGGGGACGCGCGGGCGCACACGTGTGAGTGCGTCAGCCTCGGCCCTGAGGGCTGCACGCCCCCTGCGGGCACGTCGGGCCTCCGCGCGGACAGCACGCGGCCGCGAGCCTGGCTGTGGGGCGTGCGACGTGTGGGCGCCACCGGACACCCAGCTCTGCCTGCGGCGCTGGTGGAGAGGGCGGGGCGCAGCGTCCCCCCTTGCGGGAGGGCGGGGAGAACGGCCCCCCGGGCCGGCTCTGCCGCAGGGAGGGAGGGGACAGCCCTATGCCCATGACAGGCGCAGGCCGGGGTGCGGTTCACGCGTCGTAACTGCCCAGAGAAGGGAGTGTGTGCCCTTCCCCCGTGAGAATGTGGGGCCGGCGCGCGGAGACAGTGCGGACCCTCGGGCCCTCCTGGCGCCTGGAGGCCGAGCCTCAGGCACGTACTACCCTGGTCAAAATGACATCTTTTTAAAAAATGACTAATAAGGGATTTCAAAGAGGAGGAGCCATGGACACAGGCAAGGCCAGTGCCTCTCTGCCCTGCTGCCTCGCCCCCCCTCGGCGGCCCACCTGCCCCAGGGTGCACTCCACGCCCCCCAGGAAGGCGCCCTCCTGGCAGCTGGGGCTGCCTGGCCCGCAGCTGTCGTAGGCCTCGAAGCGCAGCCTCTGTGCCTCCGCGAAGCAGTACTCGAGAGTGAAGGCCTTGGAGAACACGGGGTGCAGGCAGCTCTCCAGCACCTCTGTGTGGTCCACCTGCAGCGGCGAGAGCAGACCCGCGGGGAGGGGCCGGCCCCAGGCCGCAGGCTCTCTCGGGGCCCAGCTCGGCCCCGACACCCAGAGTGCACCCCAGCTGGGCAGGGGGGTTTCTGTGCCGCCCTCCGGGGCCCCGCATATGCCGCGCCCCAGCCAGGCAGCAAGGGTCACTGTGCCCACCCCTCCCCTGCTGGGCTGACACTGGGCCCGGCTGCCCTTCATGCCTGAGGTGGTGACCCACCCGGTTTCTTAGCCCCAGGGTGCTGGGAGCCCAGAGACGGTGCAAGGAGACGGTGCAAGGTCCGAGCTCTCGCCCCCTCAGCAGCAGAGTGCCTGGCGTGCCCCCTGCTAAGACCTCCACTCCCACCGGCGGCGCCACGGCTTCACCCGCCGACCCCTCCACCCTCGTCCTTTCTGCGTGAGGTGGTGACGGAGGAAGCGCTTTGCACAGCGCCCAGGACTCTGGCCTGCCCCAACGGAGGGGTGGACTGGGGGCTGCGAAAGGCGGGGCCGTGGGGATGTCACCTTCAAGACCAGAGGGTGTCAGGGGGTGACCCCGCCCTGCAGACACTAAAACCCCCGCCCAGAGTCAGGTCCGCGCCGGGCGGACGAGCCCGGCCGCAGCTGCTCCAACCCTGGCAACAGGCGCGTGCGCTGGGTCACCCCTGAGTCACTCCAGGAGCGAGACTGCAGGCGGGGAGCCCTCCGGCCGGACGTCCGGGATCTTGGGATCAAGTCCCGGCTCCTGGAGCCGCCCTGCCTTCCCTGCTCGGGACTCCGCCACCGGTCCCTCCGCCTGGGGGTGGGGACCAGGCACAGACGCGGCGCTCCAGGTTGCCCCGCGCACAGAGGCGGACGCGTGACCCCAGTCCGACTCTTCGCCCCCACTCAAGCCACACCGCTCGCTCTCGCGGTCCCCTCACGTCTGCGCCCCTTGATCAAGCCTCTGGCCCGCACCCTCCAGGCCCTGCGGAGTCCGGGGGGCGCCCTGCCTCCAGCGCCCCTCTCTCTACCTGGAGCCCTGGCCGCCGCCGCCCCAGCCCCGGCCCCGCTCGCTCAGCTCCTGGCGCCCCCTCTCTAGACCCGGGAACCCCGCCCCGCCCTGCGCGCCCCAGCTCCTGGGCGCCCTGCGCGGAGCCCCGCCGCCGTGGCGAGCCCCCCGCGGTCTCTGCGTGCCCAGCTCCCGCCCGGCCCCGGCCGGCCCTACCTGCACCCACCGGCCCTGCGAATGCAGCAACAGCACCACGCAGGGGTCGGACTTGGTGAGCGGGTCGCGGTCCAGCAGGTGCCGGCAGCTCACCCGCAGCTCCACCTTCGAGGAGCAGGGCGCCGGCACCACTCGGGGCGCCGCCGCCGCCCCGCGCTCCCGGCCCGCGCTCATGCTCCCGGCGCTGGCGCGGGGACCCGGCTGGGCGCGCCGAGGGGCCGCGCTCGGGTTGTAAAGACGGCCCGGCCAGGCGCGGCCGCGCGTCCTTGCAGGGGCGCGGGCAACCGTGCCTCCCTCGGCCACCACCGCGCGGGACTGAGGCGGGAGTGGGTGGGACAGGGGAGGGGACAGTGGGGGGGCGGGGCCTGGGAGGGGCGGGTGGCGATGCGGGGACAGGGGGTAGGGGGCAGTGGGGAGGCCTGGGGGGAAGTAGCTGGGAGAAGGGTGGTCCAAGAGGGGGACCCGGAGGTGGACTGAGCTGGGGCCCGCCCAGGCCACCCTCCATCCTGCATCCCCTCGGGGTCTCCTGGGTAAGTGAGCCCGCGCTGGGCTGGGGTGGGGGTCCTCCGCCCTGGCCTTCATTCCCCACCACCTGGCTCTGGCAGCATAAAACCCCCAGTGCAAAAGAGGGGGTGTCAGCAGAGGCAGAAACCTCCTCCCAGCACGTGCTCTCTCTGCCCTTTTTTTGCCTAAAAATGGGGCACAGACCTGGCCCAGAACCACGGCAGTGGAGGGAGGGAGAGGAACAGGAAGAGGGTCCAGGGGAAGGGGTGCCAAGGACAAGCAGAGCAGGGACCGGGCCCTGTGCTTTGGGCGGCTCAGGGCTCAGGCTTGGCCACGAGGACGGTGAAGAAGGTCCTGGGGTCAGAGGGCTGCCAACAGGGGAAAGGATGCACCCCAGCAGCCTTGGGGGGGCGGGCTCACCACAGGGGAGGAGCCCCATGGGCGGGAGGCGGCAGGACATCCCTGAGGGCTGGACAGTGGGGTCATGCCCTGGGGCAGGCGGGCGAGTGTCCTGGGCCAGGCTGGGTGAGTGGGAGCCTGTCGCGCAGGCTCATGAGGCAAGGGGCAGGTCACACACGGAGGGAGGGGGGGCAAGGATGCCCTCCGTGACCCTTCTTCTGCCCCGCCCCCCAGCCTCTGTGCCTGCCCCTCTGGGAAGCTGGCCCAGGTCAGACAGCTTTGGAAACCCGCTGGGAGCTGCTCTGGGCCTTCTGCCCTGCGCCCTCCCCAGCCCAGCTTTCCAGGGAAGCGGGCGCCCTGAGTCCTTAGCCCATCAGCTGTGCACGTGGGCTGCGGGGGTGCCTCTTGAGCTTACAGGGGCTCCAGCACTCCCAGAGACAGCTTCCCACGGACACCTGCCCGGCCTGCGCGCCGGACGGGACCCTTCGGCCATTCTGAGCTCCTGGGGGAAGGAGGACGGCCGCCTGGGCGCGTGCCTGGCTCCGGGGAGCAGGGGCGGGGCAGGAGCGCCGGACAAGGCTCAGGGTCTCCCACCCCGGCTCCTCCTACCGACCCTGGGGACCATCCCAGGACCGACACAGAAGCTCGACTTCAGCACCAAGGACAGCGCCGCCGCCTGCAGTTCCCTGGAGCCGCGGGGACCGCACGGCGTTCACCTCTCTGCACAATTCAGTGAGGAAACGGGGACAACGGTGGGTGACGCCCTCGGCTGCCCAGATCCCCGGTGGCGGGGCAGGGCCCCCCCGGCAGCTGTTCCACATCACGTGCTTTCGGCCCAGGAACAGGTGATGTTTGCACCGGAGGAGAATTCAGCGGTTGGGAGTTCAAGTCCCCGAGGCCCAGAGAGTCTAAAGGACCCACTGGGGTCTCCAGCCACAGCCTCACAGTGACAGGCCCCACAGGGCCACCATGGGCCTCAGTCTGGGGATATGGCGACACTAGCAGAGAGAAATCACAAGGGGAAGCTGGAGCCCTTGCATCCCTGGCCCTCGGGGCCTGGGCAGGGCTGGGAGGGCAGAGCCCCGGAGCCCAGGCAGCTGCCGTGGGAAGGGAGCCCCCTCACCACATAGATTCTGTTCCCATTTTCCAGGAAACAATAACACATTTCCTGTTGAAAAAGTGGAAAATGGAGATAAGCAAGTGAAAAATAAAGATCCGGCAAACTCTTAACATTTGCTGCTCATTGCTGCAACCCGCACGGAGTGGGGGTCCCCGAGTGGGGGCAACGGGAGGTTGAGAAGGGACAACACAACACAAAGACACAGCACAGGACAGTTTAGAGAGAAGCAGGGGCCGGGTGGGACCTTGTCCTCTGATGGGGAGACAATGGCGATGACCGTGGTCTCTGCGTTTATTTTACAGGGGTTGGTTAGATAAAGCTGAAGCGAGTTTTGCAGACAGAGGGGAACGCTGTGGGCAGGGATCGTTCTGTTCCCAGGCTATAGGATAAAGCTTTCTTCTGCGAAGGTTGCAGGCGTCCTCGGTGGAGCTCGCGGTTATCTACTCCCTGCTCACCCCCCCAGGCTCCGGCTGTCGCCAGCTGCCAGCTTGCTCTGCTTTGCAGGTAACAAGCGGTCGAACGTGGCCTTGCCAAGCACTTAACCTGGCTTTTGACATTAGCCTTCACCGCCCTCCACAGTTTACCCCGTTCTTTCCCATGGAAATCCGTTTGCACAAAATTCTTACAAGTTGCCTCCACCCCTGAGCCCTTACCCCACGGGGCGTGTCAGCCAGCCAGCTGTGGGGACTGTCCCATCCTGTCACACAGGTCCTCAGACACGGCACATAGTGCTCAGCGACGTGTTGAATGCGGTCACACTGCTTCTTGTTGGCAACCTGTTTTCCCCCTTTTTTAAATCAACATTGGATGGCCTTTCTCCATGCCATCGATGAATGTTGTCGCCCCGAAACTCGTATGTTGAAACCCTGACCCCCATGTGATGGTGTCAGGAGGGGAGCCCCCACGAAAGAGGCCCGTCCACCACAGGTGGGCACAGGCCAGCCCTCTGCCCACCAGGACGGGGCTCCCCCAGACACCCGGCCTTCCGGGCCCTTCGCCTTGGATTTCTGGCCTCTGGAACTGAGAGGCGAGTGTAGCGTCTGCGACAGCTGCTGGAAAGGCTGACACCTCACACCTGCAGCAGGAGCCAGGGAGCGGCAGCCCCCGGGCCAGGCCGGGCAGCTGCCTGTCTTGTGAATAAAGCTTTACTGGGACACAGCCACACCTGCCCATTCAGTGTCGGTGTCTGGTTTTGCGCTGCAGGATCAGGGCTGGCCACTGCCACCGAAAGCCAGGAGCGCCTGCTGTCTCGCTGGTCCTGAAAGGGAAGCTCTGCCAGGCCCTGATGAGGACATGGGCCCAGGGGCGGGCAGGGCGCTGTCCAGGGCTGGCTCCTCCACTCTGGCTGCTCTGCCACTGTCCCCACTGGGCCCGGAGGCCTGCGCTGGGGACCTCTGTGCACAGCCGCTCCAAGGGGCGCCTGCCTGCCCAGGGCGAGGGGCGGGACAGACAGACAGACAGAGCTCACCCGCAAATGTCATCTGTGCAACCTCTGCCACCGCATCGCAGCCTGACGCCCTCTCTGTTGTCTGATCAAGTAGGTGCAAGCTGCTGGGCACAGCTCACACGTAAGACCAGGGTTAGGCCACGGCGTGAATGTCAGGAGGCGAGACACGGGGCAGGAGCTCAGAGGCCACGAGGGACGCACTGTCCTCAGGGACCCCCAGGGACTACGGTGACGTGGGCCAGGGTACAGGACAGTGCGCAGGAGCTGTGTCTCCAGCTGACAGTCGCCCTGGCTTCCTCTCCCTGACTCATCTGGGCTTCTCATGATGTTCTCAGTACGGATGGGGCTTCGCCCGTCCCTGCGCTCGCTCTGTCCCTTTCATCAGTGACCCAGTTTTGCCTCCGCCTCCCCAGGAAGCTACCCCCTTTCTAGAGAGTTTCCAGAAGGGCTGGAACTAGCCCGCGCTGTGCTGTGTTCTATCTGCCCCCCAGAGAAGACATCCATTAGCAGAGGTGAAAACTGAGGCTGAACAAGGAGGGGGCCCCGCAGCCCAGGCCCTGCAGCCAGAACTACTGCTCCCTACACGCCCGCCGCCCCCACCCCCAGCGGTTGGGAGGGGCTGAGAAGGGGCCCTGGTGCCCTGGAGCCCTTCCCAGGAGGCTGGGTCTGGAGAAGGTTCTGGAAGGCCAGCTCAGCCTCCTGGGCTGATGGTTCTCAATCACCAGACAGTCCTCCCGTTGCCTGGCAACACGTGGCAGCCTTCACTGGCAGCCCTGGGCGGGGGCGGTGCGCCCGAGCGCCTCTGCCAGCCTCTCTGCGCCCGCAGCTCCTGTGGTGTGCGCTGTTTGCGGGGCCAGGAGACGCCCGGCTCCACGTGCTCGCTGCGCCGCCCCAGGGCCCGGCGGTGGCAGCAGGTGTCCGTGGAGGAGAGAGGGCATCCGCCCCGATCGGAGTCCCGTCCCCCCTCCCGCGGCCGATCCGCCGGCCCGGAGGAAGGAGCCCTGGGCACGGCCTGGCCCTCACGGTCACGGTGGACGGTCTCCGCCTCCCAGGGTCCGGGGAGGCGGCGCGTGGCCATAGTGGGACCGTGGGGGGACGGGCCTCAGCCGGGGGCTGCGTCTCCTGGCTTTCAGAAGGAAATCTCTGCGAAGGCAAGAAAGACCCGGGAGCCATTTGCTCTGTTAGACCGCAGCCGGGTCCCTGCAGCCAGCGGGCGGTGGGAGGGGGCGTCCCTGGCTGGCAGCAGGCGTTCACCAAGCGCCTGAGTGAGCGCCCGTTCTCTCCCCGTCCGTTTGTCTTAAGTCATTCCCTCCGCAGCAGGCCCGTCCTCCCGGGCCCCCACCTGCCTGCCTGTCAGGTACCCACCCCCCTCAGCCCCTGCGGGGGCCTGGCGTGCGGTCATCACTCAGTGCCTGTCGGGGGAAAGTCTCCTGACGGTTAGTGCAGAGCGACCCGCAGCCAGAGCTGGGGAGCAGACGGGCCTAGGACGCTGTGGAAGTCCTGGAACTAGGGAGCGGAGGGTGCCCCAAAGCCCACGGAGAGGGCCGTGAGGCGGCATCACCCAGATGAGCCCCGCCTGGGACAGGGGACACGCCTGCCGCACGCGAGGAGCAGGAGTGAGGGTCCCCTAAGCCCCAATAGCCTCTCACGGACTCCAGGCCCCCCACCCCCACGTGCGTTCTGGGCCTGGGAAGCCAAAACGAG